AACTGGTTCTCTCGATCAACTGATATATCCGATTTTCGAAAATGGAGGGTACTCCACATTGTCATATAATCCTATAGGTTCCTCCGGGGACTGGGAGACTACTTCCTACGCCTCCAAAGAGGCACGCATGCTTGCATCCAAAAAAACGAGAAAACTATTCAACACAATTAGTAGAGGATTCAATAAGAGTTCAAAAAGGCTTAGTTAAACCTGAAAGCTAACCTCATCAAGCTTCTGAAGATAGTTCATGAAGTGAATCTCAATCCAGCAAGGAGTTTCAAGTATAGTCATTCGTCGATAACTTTTACCGAAACCTTTTACGAACGATACTCTACATATACATAAGCTCTGAAATGACTAATTATAGAAATTACAACGCACTCATCAAATCCTCATTGGAAAAAGCCAGAGATTTGCTGGAAGTTCACCAAAGTAGAGCTCTCTTTCACCAAATCTCGATGTAAAATTTGGATGTATGGATAAATTGCGGCCCATATCAACAAATTTATACAAATACGTTTCTGTTATTATACCCCAATGGACAAACAGCGAGAAATTGCATAAACAAACCTGAAGTGCATACACATGACGATAACCTTGCTGTCGTGCCTCCTCGAGAAGTTTCTCGAACAAAAGTTCATCAAAAATATCTATTGTTCGACCTAAACTACGATCAATAAAAATTGCAACACAGATCAATTAGACAAGATGCTTCAAAGCATTATTTTCGCTTTTTGGATAGAACGAACTCAAGGTGTGAACTAGGATACTGGTTGTTTGCTGGAACTCTTCTCAAATGTACTGCTTTCTTCATATATCCGTGATGCGTTTTTCTTTGTCTAGATTGCTGGTTTACAGACAGAGTTTACAGGACAAAATTGCTTTGCTTTGAACAATTCCTCTACAGATAGACTGAATGTGTGGTTCCCATTTAATAATTTTTCCATTATAAGCATGCAGCCGGCAAATAATAACTATTTTAAAAAAGCCGTTCAACATCGTCGTGCACTTTCATAATTGGATCCATATTGTCTGAAGACTACTGAAATGATCACGAACTCACTATTGACATCATCGCCTTCAGCAACACCTGATAATCGGTAAACGGTGGCCGCATCATCATTCAGGCGCCTAGCATGTAGCGGAGCTTGTACGAACAATGGAGACTCACTCAGGCAAGTGATCGTTGTTCGACCATCTTTGTATTGCATTTGCATTCCCTTTCCTAAAAGAGCGATACATCAAAACCAAGCAAATCGAAAGCAACGACTGTATAATCATTCAATGTAAAGTTCAGCTTAGAAGTGATCGGAATCAAAAGCCTTCAAAAATAGAAAATCGCCGAAATCGGGTGTTGTTGAATAGTATCTGAACAAATACTTACCTATCTGACCCCTGACTGGTATCACACCGACTTGTCGACTGCTGTTACCGAGCGAGCCAAGACTGAATCTCGTTGGATCACCTGAACCGCAAAATCCATCTACCCACAAATTCAACGTGGGGCATTTGAACGGTTGACCAACCTAAAAAAGGAATGATTTCATCAATACATCTACAAATCCATCAAAAAATTCTGACTAACCCTATCTTTGAACTCGTAATGTAAAATATTAACAACAGCTAGATCTTCGGATGACTGTTCACTATGCCGTGGCGGCCTTTCAATTTCCGTATCGGAAACTGGCATCACATGCATTGTGGCACTGTTTTCATCAGCTGACATGCTGAAAACTCTATGAATCACATAACAAATATGGGAAAGACGTATCTTTACCAAGAGGTGAATAGATGAGGGACCTGTAGCAACTGCAGTCAGAACTAAAGTTAGATTATGTGGAAATAACTATATCAGCATCAAATATTATGCAAAATAAAGGTCAATTTCTGCTTTTATCTAAGGCTATAGACTTAGAAGTGCACGATAACTCATTGCTATCCAATCTTTACCTACTATTATTTGCTACTCTTCCGATATATTAATGCCGTGCATATCACTTGATAAGTCCAATCAGTATCAAGTCGATGAAAAAACCTACGGTGTGGCTGGGCTGCATTCGCTTACTGCGGCCATCTGTTGATCAGGTTCTTCACCGGAGGAACACGTCAGAGGGGACGGTAACTTCTAAACAATTACTGATGTAAAAAATAATGTAAAGTAACTGACATGAAAGTCAATAGGTGAAAAATATTTTTCCAAATCAGGCTAAACAAGTATCTACAGCAGAAGACTATGGACTGCAATATAATCGCCACGTTTTACTTTTCATATAACGATTAGATAGTGCTTCGAAAAGAGATACTAGGACGCCAGAGTGCAGAGATTGAAAATCTGTGCAAGTCCGAAAAAACTGAACAAATTACACCACTAAACCTGAACTCTACCCCACCAAACTAATTTTCGAATCGGCATACTCCATCATTTGGAGCAACCAATCGCGAATGAGCTCAAACAACTAGCATAAATAGTAATATACAAAAATTAAAAGGAAAGATTTGAGACAACTAAAACAGGCGTTTAAGAAGTAGGAAAAAGCATCAAGATTGAATGACATAAAAAAATGCTTTCAAAAAATGCAAGTATCAAATGGATTAAAATATCTCATAGGTCTTGAAAATATGAATGTTCGCTCGGAGAAATCTGGAAAAAAATATGCTGTACAATTACCTCAGATCCTTGAGCCGCTCCCTTTTCCGAATAGGGACTGGTTAAAACTGTAGATGTAGGAGGATTAGTCGTAGGAGGATATGTGGAAGTTGATGGTCTTGACTAAAGTAATAAAGTGGTGTTGTTTAATTAAACAGGATACTTGGTTTCAAAAAGAAAAAAAGAGACGATGGATATGAATGTAGTCCTATTCCGAAATCTCTCTGAAGAAAAAGAAAACAAGCATCCAACTTTTCTGCAGCGAAATTCAGACCTTGTAAACTGCCACGAAAAAGAACACACCTGAAACTGCGTAAAAGTATGTGCTTGGGATGAAGCTTCACCAACCACCATAGGTCGTTGAGAATTCAACGAAAATCCCATGCCTCCACTAAATCGGGCCTGATTCGGAGGAAGCGCCGAAAAACGATGAGATGGGTAGTCTTGAAAAGGATTGACATTCGAGTGTCCTGCACCAAAACGACAGTTGCTTGAGCCTTCTTGCATACTCTGAAATCCAAAGGCTGATTGCAGTGAACGTAACGGCTAAAAGGAAATACACCTTCACCTCTCGATTATAGGACTGACGATTGGTGGCTTGGTCCGAAAAATTAGTGTCCATCACGAGATTTCGTTGATCAAAATCATCATCAGGAGGCAATGGTGCGTCAGCTATCCAACGGTTATCATGCCGAACGGGAGCAGACGCTCTGGGGTAGCCCTGCTCAGGCCAGTTGCCACTGGATCCTTAATACAGAATGAAGATGAATGCGTTCCATGGTGTGAAGGAGTTGAAGGGAACGAAAACGGAAATAACTTATACAAATTCTCATCAGAATTTTTCAAATCGCATTCAAAATGAAAATGAGGTCCGAAAAAGTGATTAGAAGAAAAATAAATGAAAACGCTCGCCGATAAACTGTTCAAAAGAAATATCGCTAAAAGGAGTACAGCGAGGCTCGGGAAAGTCTGAAAAATTAATCTCACCTGCATT